TCAAGAGGGAACTTTGATGCCAGGATGCATCTATCTCCACAAGCTAAATCTGATATTGAGTGGTGGTTAAGAAACCTACCATGTTCGTTTAATATTATTGGACATCCTCCTATTGATGTTATAATATACACCGATGCTTCACTCACTGGTTGGGGAGCATCAAAAGGAGAACAGTCCACAGGTGGCCATTGGACTGAGGATGAAGCCATGAATCATATTAACTACCTTGAGCTAATGGCTGTATATTTTGGCTTGAGGTCATTTATAGATAATATTAGAGGAAAGCATGTTAAACTAATGATAGACAACACCACAGCTGTAGCTGTGGTTAACAATAAGGGTACCTGTCACAGTAAGCCATGTAATTCAGTAGCATGTAAAATATGGAATTTTAGTGAAGCAAATAGGATTTGGCTCACAGCGGCACATATTCCAGGGGTCTTCAATGTGAACGCTGATTTTGAGTCAAGAAAACAAAATATTGACACTGAATGGATGTTAGATTCTCATTTATTACGGAAATCACTGTCTGAATTGTCAGTAGAACCGTGTATTGACTTATTTGCATCTAGAGTGAATAAACAGTTGAAAGACTATGTATCATATAAACCTGATCCATATGCAAAGCACATTGATGCATTTACCATATCATGGTCAAATTTAGTATGTTACTGTTTTCCCCCATTTAGCTGCATCCTCCGAGTAATACGGAAAATAATGGAGGACAATGTGGAAGCAGTCCTTGTAGTTCCAGACTGGACATCTCAGACGTGGTACCCACTCTTACTGAAAATATTAATTCAACCACCAATACGGCTACAAGCATCCAAGAGGCTGTTGATAATGCCCTCCCAGCCGGATCTAATTCATCCCTTACACAGCAAACTGAGAGACTTCTTATTTGTCATGTATCAGGAAAGCATTGCAGAACAAGGGACTGACAGAACCGGCGCTTTATGAAGGGGATCTTTGAATTGAGACCATCCCTACCCAGATATCTTACTTGGGATATTAA